TATGTGAAGACATAGGGAAAAGCTATTCTATCGGTGATTGACAGCTTTTACCAGACGCGCGAGTGTTAGAAAGGATGTAAAGATGGTAGATTAAGTCACTTATCGGCTTTACTGAGCCCTAGTAGAAATAGAATTTTCGGCGCTCAGAGCTCACAGCCTGGAAGCGGTGGTGGCCAGACAGCGGCCCCTAGTGTAGGAAATAAGATAGGGTGACACTTTAGACGTAATATGATAGTGTAGTGACACCTGGCGAAGAATAATGCAGCCATTATAGGCATCATAACTGGTGGCGTCCCCTAGAATGACGTCACGGCGCGGGTCATTTATAAGGAGCCGCGCGCTCTAACGTGGGCAGTAACCCCTTCCTTTTTGTGCTAGTGTACGTGTGTTTTGGTGTGTCGCATCAAGACTACGCGACGTATAGTTTTAGTGTGTAGAAACTACCGAATCTGCGCTTTTTTACCGTGTGTAAGCGCAGCTGTTTTGTGTGCATATATAATGAGGTGCTATTTTTTATAGGTGAATATAGCATCGGATATGTGAATAGTTAATAGTGAAATAAGTCTCTAGCCTATAGAAGCTGTAGTAAAGTGTTTTTATATGTGAAGTAAACCTTCGTACGTTACTCTCATACGTTATGGAGGGGGAGAGTACGCCTGAGGGCTGAGGGAGATACAGAGAGACAGAGAAAGAGAGAGAGAGAGAGAGAGAGAGAGAGAGAGAGAGAGAGAGAGAGAGAGAGAGAGAGAGTAGGAGAGGGAGAGCGAGATAGAGAGAGAGAGGAGAGGGTGAGAGAAAGAGAGAGAGAGAGAGAGAGAGAGAGAGACCCTTTCTCTATACGTGCCTTTTCCTCAAAGTAGCTGTTTAGCTAGCACGACAAAGAACCTGCCATCAGTAACACAACGCCAGAAGTAATATCACAACGTAAGACGAACTAAACTATATACTACATGATCACCGACCACCATTTCACAGGTGAAGGGCCTGCGAGTGCGTGTGGAGGAGGAACAGCGTGCGTGCGAGGAGAAGTGCCGGGAGGTCGAGGCGAGGCTAGAGGAATCTCTGCAGACGAGAGCACAGATGGAGGAGAGACTCAGCAGCCGAGAGAGGGAGTTACAAACTGAGAAGACGACACTCGAGGATGAACGGAGGTATTAAACTGTCTACGTCACGAATTTCGAGCACCAGCAAGTAGTATATTTGTGTGTTA